ACCAATAGCGCATATCAACAAAGCTGCTGGTACCATTCTATTAAATGGAAGGTTTGTTGTTTTATTATTAATAAAAATCGTTTTTATATCTTAGAATTAGTAAATACTAGTTAATTTTATAAGATTTTTTTAAAAGTTAAAAATAAATAAACAAAACACTAAAAGAAGTTGTCAAAATATATTCTTTAAATTTATTCATTTATATATATATTAAAATATTTAAACGATTGCAAATACCTACCATACTATCATGCATCTGTAATAAACTTGAATTAGCGGAATACCTGACTCAACTAAAATTACAACATTTTACAATAATGACTATAATATATATATATATATATATATATATATATATATATATATATATATATATATATATATATATATATATATATATATATATATATATATATATATATATATCCAGTGGCTATTCTAGACCGTTCGACAGTGTCAACCGTATTTGGGTGTCGCCCAAATTTAAATTTGAGGATCTTTTTTTTATGTTTTATATGGCAAATATTGTTTTGTTTTTTTGTGAAAAAACGCCAATTTTTCACTAAATTTCTCTAGGACGGAGGGGAACTGCCGCCTAAGTTTCTAGAATAGGTCCTGATATGTATATATATATATATATATATATATATATATATATATATATATATATATATATATATATATATATATATATATATATATATATATATACAGTGGCGTAGGAAGGTTTCTAAATGTTTGAATTTACCAACTTTTAAACAAAAAAGAACATTCCAAATTTTTTTACGTTCATATGTATGACCAAAAGATACTTAACAAAAAAAATTACTGTGATAATTTCAACTAGACTTATGTTCATGTATACATACATACACACTCATAAAATTAAGAGAATTCAGCTTTAATAATTTTTTTATTATCATGTTACAGTTTCTGTGCAATTTGCTAGGTAGAAGATGAATCTGTGGCTTCTAGAAGAATTTTTTGTATGGTCGAGCATGGTTAAAATTATAAAATATTGACAACCAGTGCACAAAAGCAGATGTCACAAAAATAAGAGCTATAAAACTCTATTAAATCATTATCTTGACAAGATTGTTCCTTTACGAATGCAGTTTTTTAAAGATCTTGCTAAAAAGTTGAAAAAATATCTAGTTTTATTTCAAACAGACAGACCTATGGTGGCATTTTTATCAAACAGTCTAGAAAATATGTTGAGAAATTTGATGAAAATGATTCATGAACCAAACATTTTAAAAGAAGCAACAGCATTTTGTTTAACAAAGATTGAAGTAGACCAAATTGATATAGGAATAGCACTGAAACTGATGCATGTAAACTAGAAGAGAAATTAGAAATTTAGAAAGAATTATCATAATGCTATTGCAAAAAAACACAAGAAAGATACACATTGAGTATTCTTTTGTGAGGAATGCCTCATTTTTGTCTCCAAATGAATGGTTCAAAACAAGGAAGCATCCACTATAAAATTCAAGGGTCTTGCTGATAGATTAAGTGCATTAAAATGGCTTTGACGATACAGATGATGCAAAACAACAGTTTTTTTGATAAATTTGTTGGTGCAGAATGTGTTCGATTTAGAGAAAAATTTGAGTCCTTTAATGAATTAACTGATTCTGTTGATAAATTTCTTGGTGTCTGTTGGCTCAAAACGCAAAAGTATTCAGCATTGTGGAAAGTCTGTGCTATCATTTTTGTTTTAACTCAGGGCCAATTTACATTAGAATGAGGACTCAGTGTTAACAAGCAGTTGTTAGTAGAGAATCTACAAGAGAGATCTCTTGTTTCCCAAAAAAAAGTTTATGACCTCATCAATGCCCATGACATTGTTATTCATTAGTATGAGCTTCCCTTTTTTTTTTTCTTAAAAAGTTGGTTAGCATACAATAGGTACAATTCAACGCTGAATGAAAATAAGGATCAGTTAAAGGTAGACAAAGTAAACAAGAAACTTAAATTGATTGATGAAGAAAGTGTAATTATAAAGAAGCATTAAGAATATTTTGCAAAGTGCATCAAAGTTCTTAAAACAAGACAAGTTAAGAATTGAAGGAGAAGAAAAGCAAAACTTCACTATCCTTACTAAAGCAAGTTTCTTTAGAAACACAATTTTAGAAGAAAAACTGGCAATTAAAAAGTTTGATAGTTCACTGAAAAAACTTGAGCTATCTAAGAAAGAGAAATATAAACATATATAATTATATATATATATATATATATATATATATATATATATATATATATATATATATATATATATATATATATATATATATAATTGCATGTGTTTATATTTATATAAAACATATTTTGAACTTAACATAGTTTTTTTTTCTGGTCGAGAAAAGATTATTATATTCTTGAAAAACCCCAAATTATCATTGAAAAGTCCTGGAAATGTCCTGGAATTTAAAATTAGCTTTTGGCTGGCCACCCTGATATATATATATATATATATATATATATATATATATATATATATATATATATAATATATATATATATATATATATATATGTATGTATATATATATATATATTTTTTATATATATATATATATATATGTATATATATATATATATATATATTTTATATATATATATATTTTATATATATATGTATATATATATATATATACATATATATATATATATATATATATATATATATATATATATATATATATATATATATATATATATATATATATATATATATATACACACACACACTATTGTTGTTTTAATTTTGCTTAGATGATGTGTGTCAAGTTCAACAAGTTATCACCTTCATGTCCTGAAGAGATTCTAAAAGAACTTCAAGTAAGTTAAAAATATTTTAAAATCAAATAGTTGTTTTAAGTTTGAAAATAAATAAAAATTTCTCGATAAAATAAGTTCCAAAAGACCTTCTAAGTTGATAGATTTTATCAATATGCATACCAGTATAACATACCTTTGTTAAACAATTGTTTTTTAATATTGCTAGTTTCACTAACTATAAGTGACATTTTAATCTGGGTGCAGAACAATTTTGTAAGTCTAAAATTTACATAAACAATAAAATGCGTATAAAAGGTTACTTATAAATATATTATAAATATATAAATAATTATATTTTAATAATAATCATAAAAAAAAGTAATAATTTATACATATAAGTGTATAAGTGTATACATATAGTATATAATTTCATACTTAATGCGTATAAAAAGTTGACTACTAATACCTGACTGACAGAGCTTGAATTAACGCAAAAAAATCTAATTGCAATAAAAAAAATATTTTATGCTTGCCACCCCTCTCTCATACCCTGCGCCGCTCTCGGCTAATGGAAGGGGGGTGCGTTATTATAAAATTGTATCTTTAGCATGTAGTTGTTATTTTTTTAACATGTTATCTCTCATATTTAAATACTATTTTATAATTTTCTTGTTTGGCGGAGTTTAAAATAGAGTAAGTTACTTTTATAATTTACAGCTTCAGTTATAGTTAAGAGTTTAAGTTGCAGTTATAGTGTAATTAGCAAGTAATGTATTTAATACTGTTAAGATATTTCATTTAGTAATTATTTTTACTTAGCGTCATACTTAAAAAGTAAAAATAAAAAACAGGACCAACGACACAGGTTTCGAAGTGGGAAGGGGGAAGGGCACAATTATCAATTCTTAAAAAAAACTTATATCTAGAATTTTATTGAATAATTTACTAATTAATAAGTTAAAAGATTATCTTCATAAAACTACATATTTGCGCAAAAATTTGCCTATAGACCATACGAGTCTATAACCTATAGACCAAAATAGTAAGATCAAACCAAAAAAACATTAGATACCACGTTTTTTATAATTTAATGTTTCTTGATCTAGTGTACTATCAAAAATTTAAGTTAATTTAAGTTTTTCATTTAAATGGTTTTTAATTTGATGTTTTCATTCAATTTTTTTTTATTCAAATTGTTTTACAATAAAAAGTGAAACAAAAAAATTTTTGTTTAATAAATCGAATAATATTAAGTATAAGAATAAGCCTAAGTTATTTTTTTAGAAATTTTTTTTTTTTGAACAGATGTAAAATAATTTATTAATTTTAATTTTAATTTTTTATAATTTAATTTTTATTTTAACTTTTGCATTCACTGGTTTAATGTTTACAATAGAATGTTTCTACTTTTAAAACTATTTTCAAAAAACAAAATGTTTACGAAATTTATGGTTTACAAAAAAAAAACTTTCTTCCTCATTCTCCCTTTTCTTTTAAAATTTTCCTATTTTTTTTTCGATTTCAAATTTCAATCAAAAAATTATTTGGATAAGACAATTTTAAAAGACTAAAAATCTTGCGTATTTATAGAAAATCTTTAATCTTGATATCGCTTTAAATAAAATGAAAATATAAAAAATATTCTATTTAACAATTTTTGTTAGAATAAGTTTTTTTGATTTAGTTTATAAGCAAATTTACTGTGATGTACTTGTACAAATTTACATGTGATCCATTCAGTAAATCAAACTAAATATAACTTTAAAAGGTCGTTAAAGCAAAAAACGCTGAAGCAAAAAAGTTGTTGGTTTCTATCGGCATTGATTAACTAATAGAAAAAATTTTTTAATAAAAATGAATTCAAATATATATTATAATATACTTAAAGTAGTAAAATTAATAATATAAAATTTTTGATAAAATAATAATTTAAATATATATTAATAAATAATTAAAAAGATAAAAACCAGGCTTTTTTGTTAAAAAAAAATTAAGAAAAAATTATCTTTAACGTCTTTTTCTTTTTCCAACTTTTCGCTTTAATGACCTTTTAAAATATTATTATTTTAAAATATATAATTTTTAATAAATAATTTTTTTGGCTTCCACACAGAGATTTAAAGATACACAGTTTTCAATATTCTTGAAAGTTGTAACACAAAATTTTTTTGAATAAACAAACATTAAAAATGGTACATTTTATGAAAGAGTCAAGTTATTTTTTGAATAGAAGATGTTTTTTAAACTGAAATAACTATTTTAAAATTAAAATGTTTTGAAATTTAACTTTTTTCGTTCATGCTTTAATTTTAATAAGTACTTAATGGTGCAATGACATCATCATTGTGTCGTAAAAAGTTGCTCAAATGGAAGTTATAAACTATATGGAAATATGAAATATGCACATAGAACATAAAAGAAAGAGGAAATTGGATGTATATTGTGCATCACCTTTTCAGTTCTTTTTCCAACTATAAAAACATCTTCTTATCATTATGAAATTTAAATCAAACTTGTTAACCACCTAAAAAGCACTCCTGGAACAACTGATTTTTTTCTGTCTAAAGAAAGATGAGTTTGCTTCAATCATTTTTAGGATAAAAAGTTCCTCGCTAAAAAATCCTTTTTCGACTGAAAAAATTGGATACAATTCTAGACATAAAATGATCACACTGTTATTTTTTTTTTGTTAAAGTTTTAGTTCTAGATTAATTTAATAGATTCTTTTTATATCATGTTGCTACTTTGTTTGTTGTTAAACTATTCTTTATAATGGTCGTACACCTTATGGTGTACTGTATAAAATAACAGAAAAAATTTTTTATCTACTTATAAATCTTTAATAGGCTGAGGGAGTGGGGCGGAACAATAATATCCTGGGTATAATTAGCAGGCTAGGAAGGCAATAGAAGGCCTGAAAGCAAAGCTGTATACTTATTTCTTGAGTAGCTGTCTTCTTCTTGCTGACTACACATCTCTTGTTTCCTACTAAGGGTATTCTATATCCAGAAACAAAATATCCTGAATCAGGTAGAATATCCTAGCATGTTTGATGACAGCTCTGAACATATGTGCATCATTGTAATGGTTTTTGCTTTTTTTAGTTATTTATGTCCTTCCAGAAGTTCTATCGATCTTATCACAGAGCACTGAGGAACAATACTTAACCAGGTAGTTCAAATCTCATTCCTTATTAATGGATTGGTATGTTATGAGGCACGAACTTTCTTGTTAAATTCTATCCGAATTATCTTATACTCGATCCAAATGTAGATTTTTTACTTATTGGTAGAAAAGACTTGAATCCTATTACACTAAAAAGTTTACAGTCATCAATAGGATGTGTTTAGAGAACTAAAATCGTTACTTATTTTAATTAGAATTTCTGCATGTGTTTTAATGGCAGAAATCGATTTGTTTACTCAAAAATTTTTGTTCTGTATATTCTTGTGTATATATTTTGCATAACAAAAGTTGAGTTTTGAAAACAGTGTATTTAAATTCAAAAGTACTTTACCTTGAATGAAAGTCTCCTTGCGAAAAAGCAAATGATCATGCTTTTATTCAAAAGATAAATTTAGACATACTTTATGACAAAAACATTACTTTTAGGAATTACTAAAACAATGCGTAAAAAAATGCTTAAAAAAAGTAAATAAACATGTGTTCTTTCACCTGATAACATAACTGTGAGCTGGTAAAAAAAATGTATGCCTTTTTCCAATCTATGTAGAACTTTGTGTGCAATCTATAAGTTTCTCCCAGGGTCATTCCATATGAAATCATTCAGACCATGACACCTTTAAGTCTCCAAAAATTATAACTGCAAAAATTTTAGTTAAAAATACACATGGCTTCCAGAGATATTGTCAGTTGAAATAATGCTGACTCAGTATTTTAGTGATTATCTGAAGCGACTACAAAGCAACTTTGACATGTAGTATCTTCATAATGGCTTGGGTAAATTTCCTAAAACTTGGTACCCCAATAGATTATTACTTGAGGAATCCAAAAATAGCACCAAAGATTCAATTGTCTCAGGAAAAGCCTTGTTTATTTAATTTTGTTCAAAATTATTGACTTAAAAATTCATGATTTTTGGAAGTATAATGAAGACTGTGGTCCAAAATCCCAAGTAAAAAGTTTAATTGTAAATCACTATTTTATTTTGAGTCTACTCAAAAAACTTAGTTTCGTCAATTGTCTAATTCTAGATCTAGGTCTTTTTAGAAATATTTAAAAACACAAAAATTCAAATACACACTAGGGGTGTGGAGTCGTAAAAAAAAAGTAACAACTTCGACTCCAGTTGTTGAAATTTTTTTAGTACAACTCCAACTCCAAAGCAAAATTTTTGAAAAACTCTTTGAATTTTTAAAAAATTATTGCGCTATAAGTTAAAAAAATTTTTTTGGCAAATTTATGAGATGTTTTTTGAGGTTTACTATGAACATAAGGTTAATTGAATGTTTTGTACATGCACATGCAATACCGAGAAGTTTTACTATTGGAGTCGGAGTCGCGATTTGTTTAGCGAATCCGAAAAATAAGAAAAAAAAATATGATGAGCAAGTTTAAAGAAAAAAATATTGTTTAATGAGAATTATATGCTGTTATCATGAGCAATTCTATAAAAAAATATTTTAAGAGAAAAATTAAAAGTGTTGCAATCCTTTTGGAACACACAAAGATAGTTATAAAATTGCTAAAAAAGGTATAAAATCTAACATTACCACAGAATTGATATGGAAATTAAAAGAAAAACAATTTATTATTTATAAAAAAAATTATATTTTCACTTTTTTTCACAATTTTAAAAATTTAAAACTTAATTTGTTTCTCAGGTAATATAAAGATTACCCTTTACTTGGCAAAATTTTTGCTAGAAAATGTTTATTTTCCCAGGTAGGAAATTCTGCAGTAAATGTTACAAAAAAGTAGTAGAAACTGATGAAGATTTAAATTCACTGGAGGAATGGGAATCAAAAAGTGAGAAAAAAGTCAAGTTAGATAACACTAAATAGAATTGCTTGGAATTTCACCAGTGAAACTAGTCTTTC